AAAACAATGGTTTTTAGAGTGTAAAATTACTCTTTCCAGAAACTCATAAAGATGCATTTATAAAATCTTTGACACAATATCAAGATGACTACCTAAATTTCGATATAAATTTAGATTACAGAAAACCTTTTCCTATTCAAAAAAAAAACGGTGAGATATGTCCAATGATAATTACTTTTAATGATTTCGCTCTAAACGGGGAACTGTAAGAAAATTTTCAGTAACATATGTTTTACTAGATAAAAAAATAATTAGGTATCTTAAAATTCGAATGACAGATGTTTCAAAGTTCCGAGCAGAAATCATCACTGATGGATTTGGTTTGGTAAATAATAATTTTTTTAAGAAACCAACAAAATACACTTACACAACTTTTTTGTATTATGATAGATTCAGAGTTGCAACAGTAATTTTAGCCTAGTTTATGGATACGATTTGACTTCTGTTATAGGAAAAAGTATCAATATTCTGATGAATCCAGAAACAGCAGAAGTTCATGATTTTTACTTTCAGAAGTATAGATCAATGTCAGGATGTGAACCTCTGTATGGGAAACAAATTGTGGTTAATACATTTCATGCAGATGGATCTCTCATAAAAGCAAAATTGTCCATAGTGAGAACTGATGACCTTACTTCAAACGAGAGTAGCACCATGAGGTTTAAAGGATTTTTATGTCAGTGCTTGGAAAGTGAAAAAATTAATTATCCACGGCAACTATTCAGTGGTGCTAATGCTGTTCAATTTAATGATGAATTTTCAATAAATAAAGTTGAAAGAAGGTTACTAACAGAATTAGGGTACAGCCCTGCCGATTGGAAAAAAATTAAAGGTTGTAAAATGGAGATATTAATTCCTTCTGTTGTGGATATAAACAAAGGCCTAATAAAGAGTAGGCCCATAAGATTAATTTTAATTATTAATGAAAACATTAGATTCGGTCGAGTTTCAAAATGTTCTTTTCATGGCAAAGTTGCTATCAGCGACAGGTGAACTAATACCTAATTGTATATACTTTGAAACTGTGAATCACTGTGCAACTATGTACACTTATAATTTAACGGGACACTCCACTCTTGTTAAAATAAACAGAAGTGGTAAAATAAAATATGTCGGTATAAACGGAGAAGTACTGTTTGGACAAAAACCATCTGAACTGCTGGGAGTGAATATTCAAGAGATTTTAAAAGAAGATCCTTCAAATTTAATCCCTGCGGATACTAAATATTCTGGAACAGGTTTATTTAAAGATGGACTAGGAAAATATATTGAATTTCCAGTTGAATATGAAATTGGAACTGACATGGAAGATAATATATGCTGTAAAATAAAATACATTTCAACTGGAGAAACCATGTCAAGTGAAACATTTAATAAATTACAAGAGGAAGCTAACTGTAAAAAGAAAGATATTCAACCAGAGAAAATTGTACGCAATAAACCTGCTCTTAAATTCGCCAGTGATAATGAAAGTCAGATTTTGAGCATGATTGCAACTGATGCTAACACAAAAATTGATTTTCCATCACAGGCCAAATGTCCAATAATGCAAGCAATGGGAAGCAAAAATGGAATAACAAGCGCATCATTTGAGAATCACTTGCCACTTAAAGAACCTTCTTCTTCTGTAAAAACTCCAGTTAGAGACATGGGCAAAGATGAACTGAGAAAGCACTCAAGTCAGCTTTCTCTTGTTAGCGCTGTAAGTGGGGTGAGTGGTCACAGCGGTGTTAGTGGTGTTAGTTCCGTTGTTGAAGAGAAACTTGCTGATATACGCAGAGGCAAACAGAGAAATCCCATTATTCAAAGTTTAGTTAAAAGAATATATTTTGGATTATTTATGTGCATACTATGTGTATTTGCTTGTATTGCAAACATATTGATAGTTACTGCAAACAAAGAGGAATTGATTAACTCACTATATGAGGCAAAAGTGATGGAATCGTCTTACAACAGAATCATGGCGTTATCGAGGGATCTCGTTTTTATCACTACACCAAATGCAACGACAACAAATTGCAGTTGGCTTGACTCATCAAACTATACTGATAAATGTAACATGTTAAAAACGTGTGATGTCCCTTTAAAGGATATGATTCGGATTAATTTAATTACGGAAACTGAGCAACTAACAACAAATCTTAAGCTTTTTCAAAAAAATTATGATTCATACCGGGAGGTTGGATCAGATTTGGATATATTTTTATCTTCTCAAGTAACACTAAGAATCTTGTATTCGGCCTCAGATGCTTCAGTGACGTACACGGCAAGTTCGTTTTGGGATGTATGGAATCAATTTGATATCAACTCTAATGCACTTATAAAGTATATGAATGTAACTACTACGAGACACCAATGGGCTTTTATTATGTGCGTTTTTATAAAATTTTTGTAATTTTTAATATTTTTCGTAGTATAAACCGCGAGGTGTTTGCAAACTTATTCAACAATTTACAAAGATATATTATCGATACAATCACTGCAGATACAAAATACCGTAACAATTTAATTATCATCATGCCTGCTGCTTTACTTATTGTGCTGCTATTAATATTTCATGCTATAATATATCCTGCTATTGTCAACTTTAATAAAAAGAGATTAGTTTTACTACAAACTGGTAATTTTACCTGTTTTTAATCTATTTATTTTTGATAATACTCTAAATAGTATTAAGCATCCCGAAGAGTTCAATTTGTGAAATGATAGTGAAACAGTATTCTCTGGATGAAGATGAAGAGGAACCTAGTCAGGATCACTTCGCCGATGAAGTGAAAAAAATCAATAAATTGAAAAAAAATGCTTCTGAAAACACAGTCATAGTGAGTCAAATAAAAAAAAAGTTAAAAAATTTAAAATCCTCCTGTATTTTTAGATAAAGAAAAGACTGAGCTTACAATACTTGTATTACAATCTCATAATCTTCACAGTTTTAAGTAAATCTGAAATATATTATAATTTTTATTTATTAATGTTTTTAGTTCCTACAACGATACAGGCTTTGTGGATCAATTTAACCTCCAGTAATATCGATTTTGTGTACGACTCCGTTGGAGAGATGCTTTATATTAATTCAGAAATACAAACAGTTAAATGGAACGTAAGAACATTCTATATTTCTGTTTTTGCCTGTTCTTAAGAGATTTTTGTATGTTTAGTTGCAGTCGCTAATTGATAATAATTGTGAAAACTCCCAATTTTGCGTACCTTTTTCGGAGTCTAGGAATACACTCAATCGCTCTATAACAGAGGTAATCAAGGAATATTGAATAATGATTTGATAAATTATTCTTTTTTTAGATTCAAGAAACTTTTCACCAATTTGTGCAAGCACAAAACAACGATCCTGAAATTTCTTCACTTCTTTATAAAAATTTTTGTTATTCTGATAATCCTGCTTTTTGTAATGCATCCCTAACGGATCCACGTATTCGACATCATCTTGGTGTACCATCAGATTTTGTACAAAAAACCACTCGCGGAATATCCACTTTGTTTTATAACATAATTTTAGCCAGCTATAGAATTTTGATGCAAAGTGGATTGGGTTACGTCGATATGGATTTGTACTGGTTTTCATCCCAAGCTATAGATTATGAAGTCAGTTACGCAACAGATGCAATGCTTGGATACTATTTCTCAACAGCCATACGCAGAATAAAAACTCTAAGGTATACGGGATTAGCAGTTTACTCAGCAACCTTAGTTTACATATTATTCCTCTATTTTTACGCTTTTGCCTCATTAAAGAGAAATTTACAACAGCTATCAAATCATAGTAACAATGGTATAATATTTTTTTTCAATTTTATTCATATTATTTATCGAACTTCTTTATTAGTACTGTTTATGCTACCTCGAAATTTAATTTCAAAAAATAGAAAAATTCGTGATTACATTAACAACATTTATGCAGATCTTAGTCAACGATAAACAATAAGCAGGACCAATATTTTAATATTTTCTTAATTGTAAAATAATATTTAATCAAATTTTATTTGTTTTTTTTTGCATAATTCTCATTTATTTTAGGGTATTTTGTATTTAAATTTTGTTATAGAAAACTAATCTTTTAATGTAATTTATTAATCTTGAATAAACTGCATATATGATGAATTCGTTTTTTTAAGCATGTATAATTTAATAAATTTGGTAGAGGATTAACTTCTCTACTGATTCTGCTTGCAGACTTCTAGCTGTATCTAGAACCCTAGATTAGTATTCCAGGTGTTTTTAAAGTTTTTATAAACTAAGATATGAAGGTCTAAGGAGAATAATTCGTTGCTTTCAAACTACTCTTTCTTATTTATGGTAAGGAATAAGATTTGACCAGTATTTATTCAATTGTTTTGATTTAGAAATAGAAAAAAATTATATTTTTGAAGATATTAAAATAAAATAAAAATATTATTAACCTTAAACTAATTCAAGTAGGTACCAAGATAAAAATAGACCACTACTGAATAAGAAAAATTTTGTATTTCCACAGCATTTCTTTAAGAAATTGTTGCTTTCACTGCTGTGAACACTACTAAAAAAATTCTTCATTCTAAATTTATTTAAACCTTTGCCAATACAATGTTCTTGACTTCAATAAATTATTCCTATATTTCTATTTCTAAGTATCGAAATATGCAAATAAGAATATAGTTCACCTGAATCGGTTATTTTTAAATTTTCTTCAATTTTTTATAATTGTTCAACTTTGTTGTTTTTCTTTCAGAAACCTTTGGAAAAAGACATGAACCTTTTCTTTTAATTCTGTAACATTTCGTAAAATAGGAGTTTTATTGATTAAAAACAGTTTTTCGGTGCAAAAAGTTTCCATTGTTGCTTTTTAGATACACTTTCAGAAAAAGGGAATATCTCACTTCTTCCTTGAGTGAAGTATTTATTTCCTGTTACAAAGGAATTAAAAAATTTGCACTCAATACTATTTTTAATTGCTACGAATAAAATTTTTAATATTTGGAAAATCGAAAGTAAAAAATGAAAAAATTCTCCCAGACAGGGAATCGAACCCTGGTCATCTGCGTGACAGGCAGATATACTAACCACTATACTATCTGGGATTGAAATGTTAAAGGTTT